GAGCAAGCATCCTGATCCCTACACCACAAGGACACGCCGATGTCCTAGGGACGACCGGTTTTTCTTGCAGGGGGACGGACATCCTGACGAAACTGATCCAAGGAGCCCGGATCCGAACAGTATTTCGTGACGCCCCACGGTCTTCCAAAAGGGATCCTTTTACGATACATAGGGGGTCCTCAAGGCGCCTGCACAGGCTGTTCTGAGAGCTTTGCTTCCGAGTGAACTGTTGGGGGACTCTGTGGTTGTCAAGAGGATGTCTTACTGGATGACCACCTGATGTTGTTGGATTCAATTGTTGATGTCCTTGGATGAGACATCCAGTCAAAACCCTTCTGACACTCAGAGGATGTTTCTAAAAGTGTTCAACTGACATGATTGATGCATTTCAATAAAGTTGAGTGATACAAAGATACAAGACTCGATCCAATTGGATTCATCCATAAAGAAATGACAAGAAAGAAAACTACAAAAAAACCTATGTCCGAGAATTTGTTGAAATGTGCGGAACTTTTGGTTTAATCAGCGACTGAGGAAGACCGCTACCAACCACTATACCTACCCAATCTTGAAGTAAAAACATCTACCCAGTTGATTTGCTTGTAGAATGAAGAGAAAAGTATGATCGTTCATACTAGCTCAGCAAATCAGCAAGGTTCTTGCTCGGTGATGATTGGACTAAGATTGTCGTGGAATATTGGGTTCATCGGTCATCGGTCTTCTCTCCATAACCTGTGCCATTCAAATCAAGCGTACCAATCTGCTTCACCCCTTGAATCTTCTTTACTAGATTTGATGTGATCTAACACCAAATTTTGATCGTTTTCGAAATTGATGAGTTTACAACTATGACCTCTTAACAATTTCCGATCGGTTTTGTCTATCATGTATATGACCTGAAAAAAGAAAGGACATATCGGATCAAGATTGAGATAAAGATGCAAATTGGGCTCGCAATTGACATGTCTCACATCAAAGTAGTTAAAGTCAGCGCTATGTACCATTGACACGGTCAAGACGAAGACAATCAATTCGGAAAGTGAGTCGTTGAGCTGTGACAACAAGTCAGTCTAGTTAGTGGAGTCAAGATTTCCTACAAGTGGCAAGACTATCATGATTGGACTCATCTTACAGGAAGAGTGGAACTTGAAGTGACCACTGTGCATAGAGGATTGAAGACAAAGCCCCTTGCAAGCTTTAAATCCAAACAACGTAGTCTAATGGTGATCTGCTCTGAGGAAGGAATCGATTCAAGAAGATTGATGAGATTGGGGAGGTGAGAATGGCAGTGTAGGAAATCGGTGTCAGTGTTGAAACAAGTAGTGTGAAAAGCTGTGTTTGATTCAAAAGTAGCGATGATGAGAATTGATGAACGTTGAAAGGTCAGTCTGAACCAGGTATGATGGAGATTGAAAGTGGATTTGCTTTTTGAAGTTGTTTCCCATTCCCCCCGTTTTCTCCCTTTGCTTTTGAATGTCCCTTTTTTCTAGAAGTTTCCTTTCATGAGTGGTCAGTGCACGTACATTATGGACATCCTAGCCAAGTTGAAGGTAGCAGACAACCTGACGCACACCTGAAGGAACCTACCAGATGTCATGATCTCAGGTTCTGTGAGGTCATCCAGGCTTCACTCCGCAGACAGCCTCAATAGGGGAGTCCAGGTCAGGCCAAGAGCTGAGGGATCCCCAAGTGTCCAAGATCTGAAAGCCATCTTGACATCCTGGGAGTGTGCTGAAGACGTCGGCGCTCAAGGACGCCCAAAAGATACCCCAGTTGGGGACCCGGAGTTCAGCATCGGATCTCGGACGGCTTGGATGTCCTTCTGCGCAGAAGTGTCTTTGTGGTGTAATAGCAGTGGTGCATTTTTGCATAGCACTGAGACCCAGCCTTCCAATGGCATCTGTTTTCTGACAAAGATAATCATCCTCAGTTGTTGCTCCATTTACAACTTGTAACCATGATGGACGTCCCATTCAAAATCTACGGCAAAGTATGCCATCATTGTATTGGGGGTTTGCAGAGAAGTAGTCGCTTATTCATTGAGCGTCTCCAGCTTCGCGGTCTCGTTCAATGTTGAGTGCTTTCCCTGCCTTTGAACCTACACCTCTTCGGTGCCGATTGGTTTCAGATGATGTCTTGCGCCGCACTGGCAGTGACTTGACTGGCATCAGCATGCAATGGGGGTTTCAAGTTAAAAAAATGCCTAAAACTCAAATGTCCCTACATAAAAACATAGCTTATAATTTCCAAATTTTTAAAAGACTTCTAGAAAAAGCCTTTCCCAAGAAGCACATTCTAGTGTTTATTCTATAAAAAATGAATGAAAATTCAAGGGTTGGGAGGCAAAAATACAAACATTTTTAGGCACTTTTTGGATGATTGGTTACATAGGCTGATGAGGCTGTTTAACCCAATAGGATCATGGTGGTTCACACATTGGTTCATGATGGAGATCCTAGGGGAAACATGCAGATAGAGGGAGATGATTTGTAAAAAGACCCATCATCAATCATGTCATAATCGGCACATATTGATTGATCGCTTTGATCCGATCAAGTGCGCTCATATAACTTATGACATATTCCTTAAATTCACACCATGTCCAACTGGGCAATGTATATGATCTCATTTCCACGTTTTATGTACTTCAAGCCGTGAGCTTCTTGAATTTTAACAAACTTCTAAACTTAACAAAGTCCCATGCTCGTGCATCCTTGCAAGGCGTCAAGCAAGGGACTTACACCAAATGTGTACGCTCCATAACCTCAGAGATTTGGGTTTGGCAGGGAGCTTGCTTCAAGTCCTTATACCTTTTTCCACACCAAGGATTTGGATATAGTCCAAAGAGAGAACTTGTGCGCCGATGTCTTGCACTGAGACTACTTTTTTTTCCTGAGGAAGTTAATCCCTTCTTGCCAAAAATGTGCTTCAAAGATGGGCCTCAGCAGCAAATTTGGACTTGAGAGAGAGGTTACATGTGTAATCCTCTGTTAAGAGCCAATATTTGATGCGCATTTTAGGCAAGAGGTCAGCACATTCCTCGGGGAAAAAAATATGTACAGTCGATTGCAGAAAGCTTGGAAACTTTTACCCGCCAAACTTGAGCAAATTGGCGTGGAATTCTTTCCAAGCTTTGTGAAATTGACTGTACCTTATGCGCCAGAGTCAGGCGCACAAGTTCTTCCTTTGGACCATATGCAGATCCTCGGTGTGGAAAAAGCTATAAGGGTTTGAAGCAAGCTCCCTGCCAAACCCAAATCTCTGAGGTTATGGAGCGTACACATTCGGCGTAAGTCCCTCGCTCGACGCCTCGCGAGGATGCGCGAGCGTGGGACTTTGTTAAGTTTAACAAACTTCTAGGACAATTTGCATACTCCTATTGTCCTGTCAACCAGGCGTTGACAGTCACCCAATTGGGTCCAACTTTACAAGAGCCGGTGCTGATGCTCTTGAAAATTGTAAAGATCGGGTTTCTCAAATACAGCCGTTGTGAGAACTATCGGTAATTTCTTGATGTGAATGTGTTGCGCTCGATTTTAACTCGCCAGGCAAAAACTGGTTCAAAACTCAGTTTTGGACTCGAACTTTGTTGATACTCACGACAGCTATCTTGACAGCTGTCGAACTTCGAATTGAACATGCCAGCCCTTCAGCCTGCATCCTCCATGTCTTTCAACCAATCTAAGATTGCTTGATGTCCAAAGCTCTTCAACAGTTCATTGGTCTTGCTGCAGAAAGCCCCGACTTCGGAGTTCAGACGCAGACTCTCTCTGATGGTCTTCGATTCCTTCGTCCATCATTTTTCGAACTTTTGAGCTTGCAATTTTTTCCATAAGGTATTTTTTTTGACACAGTGGTACTTACACGTGTTTATGATCTGTTCTTCACGCCCTCAAATAAAAACATAATCATTGAAATGATGATATATCATATGCTGACTTGGCTTTGTAATTTCAATCGAGGGGAAGGGCAATAAAAAGTAATGCACATCTGGAGTCGAACCCAGGGGTTATGCCCAACCTGCGTCTGGTCCGTCAGACTATACAAGTGCTAACCATAGCACGATATATAACTTTGAGATGATTATACTTGCCAGGGTATATATCATAAAGGCCTGAATCAAAGTGTAAGCGCGTGCGAGCCGAAGGTCGGATCAGTTCAATTGGGTTTCCGACAGCTGTCAATACAGCTGGCTTGTATACGCAATGAACACCAACAAAGTTCGAGTCAGAAACCGAGTTTTGAACGAGTTTTGGCCTGGCGAGTTAAAATCGGGCATCACACATACATCGAGAAATTGCCGATAGTTCTCACAACGGCTGTAAAGTTATTTGAGTTTTCAAATTTGCTTTGTTCCTTTCTGTTGTTTTCATCAGCATGTCTTGCCTGTCAAAGTCATCTTGTACCGATCATGTTGTTCTTTCAAAGCTAGGCCCAATCCCAAGCCAAGTTGGACCCTCAAATTTTGGCTTTTTGTGATCAAAAGCGACGATTTTTAGATGTCAGTGACGAAAGAGGTTGAAATTCGACTTTGTCGCAACAATTGTCCACAAAAAGGTCTGAATTTACGTCACGCACCTCGACAGGCGCTTTCCAGGGTCCTCCTATCTCACATTTCTCTGCAAAACGTATGTAACATAGCAAGCTTAAAATCAAACACAGCTTGATATCATTCTGCTTACTTTTGGTTTTTCTTTATGAGTCTCTTCATCGTCTTTACTTTCTGTTGACTACCGTTGCAAACCTCACATACGAACTCCTCTTTCTTTTGTTCTTCCCTGTATCTCATACAAAAAAATCCGATGCATTCTCAATCAAACCAACCACGCACTCGTTCCAAATTACTATCCGCGTTGAAGTTGACCGAGAAGCCTAACAAGGACTTGGGATCATCATCATTGAGCCCTGTGGTTAGCCTTCTTGCTATATTCCCAAGTGTTTGAGACTAGCTCATGGAACTTAGGAACTTGACGTACCTAATCTAGTCTACCACTCAGGAAATGGCTCATCAAAATCCCCAAAGACTAGTAAGCACTGAATGAGTGCAATTGTGCCATCGCTTTCGGATGATCTCTATCAATGCTGCAGCTGATTACCTTCTGTTGTATTTGTTCCAAAGGATGAATACGATCCAATCTTCGAAGCACTCGAACGTTGCTCCCAGACGTCATCATCTTACGAGGGTCAAAGATCAGTAAGATGTATTCCTCCTGGCTCTTGGACATCCAAGCCTTTACCATCCCCTGAAATGGATTTTCTGTGTAGAGCAAAGTTCCTACCCGTTCCCCTCCTCTCCCTTTGAGTCCAAACTTTCGTCAAAGGGTGGTTTATAGCTCTGTGGATGGGATGGGAGAGGCGAACATTAGTCAGACTAGTGAAAACCAGACGGTGACTTTGGTGAGTCTCTTATTGGCGTTTCACTTCTCTATACCCACCCTTACCTCATCGTCCACCGCTACCAAGTTCAAACCAAACTATGCAATGTGCCTTCTTGTCACGTTTTCAAGCTATGGTGGCTATGATAAGCTGATAATCTTATTGCGTTGAACCCAGCGCTCTAAAACTCATGAAAAAGTGCTACCAATCCCCTTAGTGAAGGAGACACCAGTAAGCGCCTCCAAGGTTAATTTGTTATCGTCCGCAAACCTAATACATGTTTGCTTCTATTTTCCTAGGACGTTGGTCATCCACTGTTGGTAGCGATCGGCCAATAGGATGCAATTGTGCCATCGCTTTCGGATGATCTCTGTCAATGCTGATTGCCGTCTGTTTTTTTGTTCCAAAGGATGAATACGATGCAATTTTCGAAGCACTCGACCGATGCTGCCAGACGTCATCATCTTACCAGGGTCAAAGATCGGTAAGATGCATTCCTCCTAGCCCTTGGAAATCCAAACCTTTACCATCCTCTGAAATGGATGTTCTGCGTAGAGCAAAGTCCCCACCCGTTCCCCTCCTCTCCCTTTGAGCCCAAACTTGCGTCAAAGGGTGGTTTATAGCTCTGTGGATGAGATGGGAGAGGCGAATATCAATCAGACTAGTGATAACCAGACGGTGACTTTGGTGAGTCTCTTGTTGGCGGTTCACTTCTCTCTACCCACCCTTGGCTCATCGTCCACCGATACCAAGTTCAAACCAAACTATGCCATGTGCCTTCTTGTCACGTTTTCCAGCTATGGTGGCTATGATATGCTGATTGGTCGTGTTGAACCCAGCGCCCTCAAACCCACGAAAAAGTGCTACCAATCCCCTTAGTGAAGGAGACACTAGTAAGCGCTTTGAAGATTGAATTTGTTATTGTTCTACGCAAACCTAATATATGTTTGCTTCTATTTTCCTAGGACGTTTGCGATCCACTGTTAGTGGCTATCGGCCAATACATCCACACGCCAACACCTTCAAAATACACGCAACAAAGATCTGTAAGTTCCTGTTCTTTGGGAGATCTTAACCCTCGACACACATCCTTTGAAATGTCTTATTTTCATTTTGGAAGCGTCTTTGTATGTGCTCATCTGTTTGCTTTGGTCATTTCTCAGGATGACCGTATTGTGCTTTTGGCGAAAATTGCCCGATATACGGATACAACCACATCCTTCAGTTACGCGCAACAAAGATCGGTAATTCATTCTTTTCCTTGCAAGTAGGCATCCGTGTTTTACAGTCTCTCTGACCCGAATTTCGCACGGCACGCAGCCCAGAGCTTGTATTGGGCCAGCTCCTGCCCTCGAGAACGCGATTCCTGATCAAAGGCTCACTCTAGCCCCTGACCAAGGGGATGTAGAGGCGCATGTTGGTGATAGCAGAGAGGATGAGTTTGTGTCTTTGGTTCGTCCATGAATAGTGCTTCATTTTCATTTCTGTTCTCGCGTTTGTCTGATCGTCTATCTGTGCCAGAGTTCAACTTTTACGTGAATGTGCTACTGACCCTGTTTGAAATTGATCTAGGCTTGTGACCATGGCCCTGGCGAAAATGACCAAAAATCAGGTCAACCCAGCCATTATCCGCATCTGTCCATCGAGGTTCCTTCGCATTTCCTACAAATTGACACCGATTCGTCTCAGTGCAAACCCGACCGAGCTTCAAGAGTGCACCAGAGCAGACATCCTAACACAGTGTTATCAAACGTATCGACACCGCGAGCCGCCCGTTCCTCCTCTCGACCACCTCACAGTATGCATCATCAAACTACGCCTCTTACCCCAACACGCCATCAACACCATCCACGATCCGAAGTCTCACTGGCATCTACCCTTCGCCCCGTGGGCCCGCCTCAGATTTATGGAAAGTCAAACGAAAACCTATGACCTCCGATTCTCCAACTCCTTTCAATTGACGAGTCTCTTGTTGAAAGCCTTCCCTCTCCATCTGCTTTGAGTATTAATCGACGTATTCCGAGTGGAGAGGTCTTAGCTGGTTTAGATTTTATGGCCAAGCCTTGTGCGCGCAGGACTCCTGATGCGTCATTAGACTTAGAACGCAGTGAAACTCCAGAATCGAGTGGAGCATTTTTGTTATCATAAAATGATGTAACATACCCAGATTTGTTTCTCATAAATTACTGCACCTCTCATTTCTCTTATTATAAGCATTGGTAGCGTGTGCAGTTTGATGTTTTAATTTCTTTCCTAGTTCATTATTTTTGCATTCCCCTAATACATACCAAGCTCCCATAATACAATCTAGAACCTGTTGTAGTAAGTAATCATGCTAAGACACGCTATTGACCATTGTAGGAATGGAAAGAACAAGTTAGTATGACACGTGAAGTTGTGGTTTTCCTATTTTTTATGTTACATGTCATTGTCTTCTTGGTTTCTTCTTACAATATGTGAAATAGTTGTTGTCCGAATTGAGGCTAGTACAATTCCAGTTTGAGGAAAATGTCTTCCAACTCCACAGAAAAAAATCGTTCATTGTCATCCAAAATCTCAATGAATTATCATTTTGTCCCAACATCTATTATATACATTTTGAACAACTCTCTCAATGCATTACCACAAGTACAAGAAGATCATCACAACAATCGAGTTCTTGTAGAAAGTGCACAGTTTCAGGAGGAGCGCTAGCGATTATTCTAAGTCAGGTAATTGAGATTTACAAATTGTTTTTGTTTTGTCAAATTGTTATAACTGTCTATTATCATTTTCACTTCGATTTGTCCTACCTTTTCTCATATCTATATGGTATCTGCTGCAGACTTGAGTACACGCTATGAGACTCCTAAGTTTTCACTTTCAGCGAGGAATCTAAGAGTGTTGATCTTCATAAAGGTACTTACAGTTTTAACAGTTATTACTTTGATTCATTGTATGTTCATATATTCATTACTTTCACCAATGTTTTTCTCACTTGTTATTGTGTTTTGAAGTAATTTGGTTGATAATATGAATACTACAATAAAGGTTTAACTCAGATTCACTACAGTTACATCAATCACTCCTTTTTGATCATTATCAGTAGTCCTCTACTGTCTAGATGATATATTCTCAAAATTGTCTTGATTTCAGCTTCTTTTTCTTGTTCTGTTCATAGTAATCTGGAGAGATCCTACATTTAATCCATTCACATTGCCCTTGTCGGAATTTGGAAGTGTTCCCAGAGCTTGCGGAGGTACACATCGGTCCATGTCTAATCTGCGGGTGAAAACTATGAGAGCGGGTAGGACCGAGCACTCTTGTGAAAGGTGATGGAACACATGTCACAAGAGGAGGAGAGCTCGAGAGGTGTACAGGTGGAGAGATAGAGTTTTTACCTCTCCGATAGTACACATACTCTCTCACTATCCCGCATTCATAGTTTTACAAGTCTCTTTCTCAATCAGGCACTTTTTCGAAAAAAAGGAGATTATTATTGGAAAACGAAGAGGAACAAGAAATTGGAAGAACTGATCGAGCAAGGAGGACAAGAGTTTGAAACAAAAAGCTGAATGTGGAGACAATTAAAAAAGAAATCAAAGACGAATATAGAATATAAATCAATAAGCATGATCAACGCTATGAAACAAGCTGAAGAGAAGAAGAAAGCCCAAGAGCTGAAGGAGATGGAACAAGTGGAGAGCAGGAGAAGACGGATGGAGTCACGAGCACCTGGTGGAACGCAATCGACTTCGATGAATCCTACGCAGACGGAGCAGGGGGAAAGGATAGAAGGAGGAGTAGTAGAAGGAGGTGGAAAGGAAAGTCAGGTGGTGGATGAGGAGAATGGAAAGGGAGAGGAGGTGAGAGAGGGAAGTGGAGATCAATCAGAGAGTGAAGAGTTGATGAAAGAGGACATTCAAAGAGAGATTCAAAAGAAGAATGGAGGGAAGAAGAAAGGAGGTGTGAAAGGAAAGGAGAAGAAAGAGACGTCATCAAGTGGGTCCGAAAGTGATGAGGGTTGGTTAAGAAAGGTGAAGGATTACGGGATGTTAGTGGAGAAAGATAATCGTGAGTAATCTTGTCTAGGAAGGTTGAAAGGGGAGATCTTACCCTGAAAGGAAGTGTGAGCAGCTTTGAGCGCTCCAATAATGGTGTCCTGAAGGGAATGAACCGCATGGGGAATAAGTCTGGGGAAACTCATGACGTGACCCGTTGAGCTCCACAGAGGTGTAGAAGCTGGTAGATCAAAGGAGGGAGAGGATAGACTGTTGGACTGATTTGAGGTGTAATTGGTATTGATCGGTTTTGTAGGCCCGACTGAGGAGCGGTCGAACAATAAGAAGGAGAAGAGGGGTAAACCAGACGGTAGACCTCTCCTGGATCGGTTAGCGGAGGTGATTGAGTTTGGAGACGATGATGATTTTGCGGAATTGAAGAAAGAAATGGTGGAGAAGAGAAAGGAAGAGGAGGTGGATGTGAAAGATGGAGAAGGGAGGAAGAAAGAAGGAAGGATGGGGAAGGAGAAGAAAGAAGGAAAGTCGAAGTCATCGAAGAAGAAGAAGTCAGGAAGGGGGAGGAGTAGGAGGTTGTCATCTTTGTCAGACGGTGAAGAAAGAGACCCACCAAAGGAATCAAACAGGCGCAGAGACAAGAGGACTAAATCGGATGATTCGTCCACAGAGTCCTCGGATTCAGACTCGTCTTCCTCGAAGTCGAGTAGAGCAAACCGGAAGAGGAAGGAGAAACCGATTGTATTCTCGTTTAAACCGGCAGCAGCTTACGACTTGCCAGACCTCCCACCGCAATGGGAGAAGAACTTTAGGAGGATGAAATATTATGTCCTGTTGTCAGTGTTCACGGCGTCGTACATAGAGGAGTATAAGTCAGCAAGTAAATCGAAGTTGGGGAGATATAGATGGGATAATCATCACTTACATTCGAGAGAAGAGTTGGAGTGCCATATGACGTATGGGGAGTTCAGCTTGGCTTGTGACTTGGAGTATAGGTACGCGCTAGAAAGGTACAAGTTTAAGGAATACGCGGAGTATGTCGTGAGGCACAAGGAGATTGTGAACAAGATAGCGAGGAGGCATAAATGTTGGATGGTTGGATTGAGGTATCATTTGGCAATGAGAGCGTTGACGTTTAGAGTAAGAACGGAAGAAACGTACGAGAAATCCAAGGATGGTGGGAAGAGGAGGAAGGTGGAAGAAGTAGAGCTTCCGGATGGACTTCAGAAGGACGCTGAAGAGGATGCGAGATGGGAAGCCCAGATGGCCGGAGACCTGAAGTATGAGGGGAACCCGTACGCGCTAGGCCAACCGAAATATGGTTGGGTGTTCAAGACGGGCCAGGAACCAGACCCGACGGCAGCCCATCTTTCGAAGGCTCCTATAGAGGGGTGGAAGAACAGAGGACAGAGAGGTGGCAATCGGGGTCACTACGCAAGACCACAAGCAACAATGCCGTATAGGCAACAGGGTCAGTTTCAGAGGAGAGAAACGGGGAAGGACTGGGTGGCCTCGGGACAGCAACATGTGAGCTTCCAAGCGTCGGGTTCAGGGAAAGGTGGAAAGAAATATGGAAAGGGGGAGGGGAAAGCTGATCGATCCTACACACGTCTGAGAGATTGCTCGATAGAGATGATGCCGCAAGTTTGTAGTAGTGTTGAGAGGAGCAGAGAACTGGTGGGTGAGAACTTGAGAGGTAAGAGGAAGGCAGACGAAGAGCTAAAGAAGGAAAGAGAAGTGCAGAGGCAAGAGGAAGGATCACAGGAATCAGACGAATCGGATGGAGAGATGGAAGAGTCGAATAAGGCAAAAGCAATACTACCTTTGAGTGAGAGGAAAACGTTTAGGGTGGATGTAGAAAGCGACTGGCCAGCTCCGGTGAAATGCGACATGAAAGTTAAAGAGTGGGAGATACTGATGAAAGAGGTGGGGTTAGACGAGGACATTCCGTACATAATAGAAGGATTGAGGGATGGCTTTTGTTTGGGGATACCCCAACACGTTGTAGGGGATGAAAAATGGTATACTCCGGATAATCATGAATCAGCGTTAGAGGTGAAAGATCAGATCAATGCAACATTGGAGAAAGAGGCGAGAGAGGGTAGGATAATAGGTCCGTTCACGCATGAACAGGTATATGAAAAATTCGGATTCTTCAGGACGAATCCAATGGGAAGTGCTGTGAACGGAGATGGGTCAGTGAGGCTGATTAATTACTTGTCTTACCCGAAACACAAGCCGGAG